GGAACACAGGCTGTTTTCTCCACGGGGTGTGGGGAGGACATTTGCTGATCCTGAGTGCAGGCTAAGGATCTAACTTGGTCCAAGAAGAGGAAATATTCTGTGGGAAAGAGAAACTCGTAGAGCTTTCTGCAGTCGTGTGGAACTGACTTGATGGACGGGACACTAGGAGAGCCCCAAAGGCAAGCCCAGTATTCCCATGAGATATTGCTGAGCTCTGGAGCAGTTTGCAAGGCTGCAGGCTGGCCCAGAAGGGCAAAGTGAAAACTCATAATCTTGGGGGTACTTAGGAGACAAAATCTTGCTAGAAACAAATATACAATGAGTCATCTCCTAAAGGCTATTGCCAGATTCTGTATCTACATGGGTTGGGTTATATTACCAGCTCTGATGATCCTAGCGCGTTTCTATAAAATGTATCAGGCAAGTCTCTGTCGCTAGGCCCTGAACACAGAGATGAGTATCTCACCCCCTGGCTGGGGAGACCACACATCTCAGTAGCACCTGGCATGTGCTATGGTAAGGGGTTACAGAACCACTAGAAGAAGCTTCTGATACACTTGGATGTGTGGAGGGGGGCCAGGCTCAGGAAAAGTTTTCCATAAATGAATTTTCAGAACGTGAGTAGGAATTGTTTGGGGATGCCTATGAAATTATTCCAGGTGAGAGATTTTGCTGAGCAAAGGCAAAATGATGGTAAGAAACAGTGTTTGAAAGACTATAACCAGTTTACGCGGGAGGTGCGTGGCTGAGACTGGGGCAGTTCTGGCTAAGGGCCTTATAGACATGCTGTCATCAGTCACTTTTTCCTTAAGTCATATGTATTTAAACAACAACAACAACAGAACAGTAAACAACAAAGCTGAATCTCTGAATCTCTATCCAAATAAATGCATGACTTTCTGGCTGTTTCCCACTAACAACTGCTCCTCTTTATTTTCCCTTAAACAAACAGGAAATTTGTCTCAGGATCGAAATGAATGTTTAAAAAACAAACCTGATCTGCTTTAAATACCAAAATCTGTTTAAACAACACAGAGGTTGTGACATCCATTGACAAAGCCAGGAAGTTCAAAGCCCCGCCGTTGACACAATGTGTTGAGTTCTGCTATTGTTGGCAGCCCGGACTGTGGCAGGTCCTGGTGTTTGTCATTCAGGTCTGTGTGTGCACGAAGGAGACATTCCTCAGACCACAGGACTCTTTCTTCTTTGGGGAAACACTTGTATTTTTTAAAATGCTTTTTGAAAGCAAGAACAACAATTGGCAGTGATGGCTGCTACTTCCATCTCTTGAATGATGGATCCCAAGAGTAACTTGGAGTCTTTCTCATGAGCAGATTTTAGTCATTGTAAAGCTTGAAGAAAAAATGTTTATGCTTTTACTGACATCCATCTCCAGAATTTTTTTTATCAACCTAAACTGAAACTCTGTACCCATTAAACACTAATTCCCCATTCCTCCTGGGCCCTAGACCTTCCATTCTAGTCTCTGAGTTTGGCTCTTCTAAGTACCTCATATAAGTGGAATCACAGTATTTCTCTATCTGTATCTGGCTCATTTCACAAGGTTGTAGTGTATGTCAGAATTTCCTTCCTTTTTAAGGCTGAATAATATTCCATTATATATACATTTTTACATATATGTACATACACATGCACACATAATGTTTTGTGTACCCGTTCCTCCATTGATTGACACTTGGGTTAGCTATTATGAATAATATTGCTATGAACATGGGTTTGCAAATATCTGTTTGAGTCCCTGCTTACAGTGGATTCTTATTTTCAAAAAAGCTGCACGGAGCTCGTGTGGGTCCCTTCTTGAGTTTCTAGCTCGGAGAAAGGCTGACCTGGGAATCAGGGCCTTCGTCCCACTGCTCCCTGCCATGAAGTAGCCGGTCCCCTGGAACAAGTCGCACCTCATCTCTGGGTCACAGTTTCCACACCTCTGAGCTCAGGCAGTCAGTTTCACCCCTCAGGTTCTGCCCCTTAGGGACCCGTGCATGGGACACTCTGAACCCAGCACACGGTTAGCCACTCCTGGCTTCTGCTTGTTCTTCAGTGGAATTTGAAGTGGGGATGACTCTTGACACAAGCAGATTTATCACTCACAACTTCCAGTGCTCTTGAGCAGCCCTGACGGCCCATGGCATATGGAAACTGGTCGCTTTGCTGAGGCATGAATTTGAAGCTCATATACAGTGGGGTGGACGTGTGGGAGCAAGTCGTTCAGTGGGTCAGTCGGGCTGCCCGGTATCTGCCCCTCGGTGACGTGTTGTCAGCTGCTACTCATCCCTTAACCAGTGACTTCCATGAAGTGGTAGAGCTCTGGTGCTGTGTGTGAATGGGGAGGTTGGGGGTGGGGTGGGAAATGCTTCCGAAAAGAGAGCTGACTGCTTGGGCTGGTGATGGACGTAAAGAAGAGAAGAGAAGCCTAAGAAACTGAGGGCTCTTCTGGAAATAGATTAGACAGTGGGCCATCCAACTCCACAGTAGCTCTCTAGAGCAAACGTGTTCTCTACAGAAATGACACAGACCTCTTTGTGAAATTTCACTGAGCATCTCAGCCAGCAGAAAATTTGCTCATTGAGAGATAAAAATTTAGAGACGTTTGAAAGAGTGACTGAGGAGAAAGGCAGGAGACCACACAAACGTTTCCAGGAAGCAGCAGATGGAAAGGCACCAGTCCGGCTACGAAAGCAACCTTATTTTCAAGTCAGGGCTGGTTTGAAAATTCTGAGAGGTGTTTTTCTTGGCAAAAGGTGCATTTAATAGGAACAAACAGGCCAGCTGTCTGTCTCACTGAAGACAAGGTTCCTCCCAAGCTGAAGAAACCCACAGAGGAGCAGAGGCACAAGTCCTTGGCTATGACTGCTGCAGTGCATGTGGGAGGTGATGGCTCCACAGACTAAATTTGAAGTCATGGGAAGGGGGCAGTCAGAGGAGGCCATGTACGGATATATATATCAAATCATCGTGTTGTACACTTTAAATACATACAATTACATTTGTCAAGTATTCCTCAATAAAGTTGGGAAAAAAGGGGAAAAAATGATCTGGTAAAAGGGGTGGAGGGGGTGAAGACAATGGTAAAGAGTTAAGAAAGGCTTCAGAAATGTGGTGAGTTCTTCCAGTAACTGCCATCACTAACCTCCATCAGTAGAAGGAAGCCCTTTTCAGCAATCCCAAGAAATATGTCTCCATTGGCACCGTCCCAGGAAATGTCCAAGTTGCAAAAGTAAAGGGGGATTAACGAGATTAACTTTGGTTACAATTAAGGAAGGGAAGGGGGAAAAAAAAGTAAGAGAAAATGACAATTAAAGGTAAAATAAAAGGGAAGGTGATCAAATGGGCACAAATGAGATAAAGTAATATTTCTCCGAACAGCTCAGTGTTAATGAGTTGGACAACCTAGATGAAAAAAAAATTTTTTTTAAAAAGTGAAAATGGCAAGCATGGATCCAGGAGAGAGAAAAGGCTTGATTAGGACAGTGGCTGTTAAAGGCCACGCCAACTAGAAGCTCCAGGTCCAGAGGCGTTCAGGTCCAAGCTCAGTTCCACAGCAAAGACCATGTGCGTCCTTTACAGGAAAAGAAGCAGGGAAGCCTGATTAACTGACTTGTGTGGTTTGTGTCACCTTGTTTCCAAAACCAGACAATTCCATTGCAAGAGGATCCAGTTTATGACCGTACATGCAAAAGTCCTAAATGAAATGTCAAACCAGCCGCAGGGAGGACAGGGGGAGAAGAGCTCCATTCATCGTGCTATTTAAGATAAAAGCCACCACTCACTTGGAGAAAGCGGTTTCCTCTTGTCCTTTGCATTCTGCTTTGCAACTATCTCTGTGACCCTGCTTTTTTTTCCTTTTTGTTGTCGAGGCTTTCACTGCAAATCAATAAAGGGAAGCAAACAGAAAGTGACCTCAAGAGAGGTGAACTGCTACAAAGGTTCTAAAATCTCACGAAGTTTCTATACTGAAGGTTCCTGGTTTATATTTCCAGACTTCTTTTTGAGACAGTAAATGAATGAAGATGAAACTCATTAAACATACTTCTTCCTTCTGACCATCTGCTTGCTGCCTTGTTCCCAGCTTGGGACCTAGAGAGGCCTCCAAGACAGGACATGACGTCCCCTTGAGTGAGATGACAGTTGACGTCTCCAAGGGCATCCGGCCTGGGTGGCCTATCCCAGGACAGCCTGGTTCGTTCTTCTTGTCTTTGCACAGAAGCAAGCCCCTAGCGTGACCTTCCTAATTGGAGCCGGCTTGCACTCCAGAGTGTGGGGTTCGGGGAAGAATCATCTTTCCTGAGCAGACGTTCCAAGCACTGACAGAGCTGGGTCTTTGGTTCACAAATACTCTTTGTGCTTACTGTTTAGGGGCACCTTGGGAGTCTGGGTCCCGTTACTGCTGTTCTAGAATTTCTAGCTTTGAGCGATGTAGGGTAACCTCTTCCCTCTCCTTTGGCCTCTAGATATTTGCAAATAATTCATTATTTAATTGCTCCCTCCCTGAGGAAGCACCTGGTTTCTTAGACTATGTTGTAAGCCAGAAAGACGGGGGCATTAGGACAAGGGAGGGACGGTGCCATAGGAAAAGGCAGGTTGACAGCCGGCTTTTTAGCTAGAGGATCTGGGTGCAGGTTAATGAGTACTTCTAAGCTGGGGGATTATTTTTGCACACTTGAGACAAGATGGAAATGGGTATTCTTGCTCTGCCCCTGCCCTGGAGAGAGATGAGTGAGATGTTGGCTGTGTGCCTCCTCTTTTGAAGAGTTTGGAAGTTAAATGCTTCTGTGAAGATTCTCACCTCAGAATAGACTAGGACTTAGCATTTTCTGTTAAATGCAGCGGACTAGGAAGTGTGGGGGTAGAAGGACATGGAGTGGGAAGACATGGCTTATGTCTGGGATCTGAACTAGCACAATCTCAGCTTGTGAATGGCCTTGGAGAAGGTTACCAAGGTCCTACTGCTCTGATGGCCTTTGTTGAAATTATTTCTGCAGGTGGTCACAGCTGGTTTATCCATATTGCTGTTTGATATGATCCTGACCAGTGCCACCGTGGGATGGTAAGTCTGCACAGAGACAGAAGAAGCAAAGTAATTGTTTGGGTTTCCTCAGGGTACTAATATTTGCTCTCAAATGTTAAAGAAAGGGTGTGAGATTTGGGGACATATTTTATTGACATATAAATATGCATTCAAAAGAGTGCATATATATAAATATGCAACTTGATGCATTTTCATAAACTGAATATAACACACCTACTACAGCCAGCATCCAGAGCAGGAAATAGAGCCTCACCAGTACACCTTTCAGCCACTCATCCACCCAAGAGTAACCACTATTGGTGAACCACTAATTGTGTGTGTGTGTGTGTGTGTGTTTGTGTGTGTGTATAACTATGTTTGTTTTTTCCTTTGATCCTTCAATTCATTTTCTCTTAGGCAAGCTCCAGATCATCCTCATTTGGAATGCATCTGCCTATTTTCTTAAAGACAGAACTGCCTCCCCCACCCCCATATTTGAAGACAGTCCTGAAGGAATGGGGAAGTGAGCTATGGGGACATTGTGGGGGAACAGCACGTGCAAAGGCCCTGAGGTCGGAGTGTGCTTGGTCTGCTCAAAGAGCAGTGTGGCCAGAGCAGGCTGATAGGGGGAGAGGAGTAGGAGAGAAGGCTGGAGCGGGAGTTGATGGCTGACCATGTGTGGTCTTAAAGGCCATTTTAGGGCTTGGCTTTACCCTGAGTGGGGGTAGGGTAAGTGATCAGAGGATTTTGAGCAGAGGAGCCACGTGGGGCTATGTTAAAAACACATTCCGTGGTCTGCTGTATGGAAGGTAGGCTGTAGGGTTCTACCTCTGAACTCTCTACACGGACTGCCCATTGGAGAGATAACCAAGTTAGGACTTTGATCTATTCCCACTTGCTAATATTCAAACCAGCTGATATGATCACTACCAAGGATTTTGGTTGTCATCTTCAGGGAAGGAGGAGACAAGGTGGGGAGTAATGGTGAGTTTAAGTTGTGAAGATCACTGTTGCTCCCCTTACCAGTGGGCACACTTTACTTTGGGGGGTATATACTTATGTACTTTAAAGCTATGTAGTAATGCATGCTATTTGTGAGATACAGTAGACGATACAGAAAAGCATCAAGTGAAAAGTAAAGGTCTGTTGTCCTCTGCGTCCACTGTCTCCACTTACCAGAACTCACACCAGTTTGGAGCTAGTGGTGAAAATGTTGGACTGTACGGTCAGGGGTGTCCGTGCGAGTGAGGAGGGCTCCGTTGTCTGCAAAATGAAACCACACCGAGTGGTGCTTGCTGAGCAAGATGAGCTGCTGGGTCCCTGGGGTGGGTTAGTCCTGGCTGAGTCTTCGCCCGGCCTAAAGGCTGCTGCTCTGGTGACACACAGCCTTCCTTTCCTGTGGCCACGGCTGCCTGCTGCCTGCTGCCTGGCCTGAGTCACTAACACAGCACATTATGGAGCATAATTCCTATTTGTTGGTGCTACTTACTGGTCTCCTAACCTCTGTTTTAAAAAGAAAAACAAGCCAAGGGCCACTTGAAGAGAATGCTTATTTCCATTCTGGTTTGGATATATTGTTTGGTATGGCCCCCTGCACCCCTGCCCAGGAATGGGGCTCCAAAATGGAAATGCAGACAAGTTTTGGAATAGGTTTTTACATTTCTTTACCAGCATGATGGAAACAAAAAACAACTGTTGTTTAGCTTTCCTCAAATAAGGCATAGTTCTAGAAGATTGGAATTTTTTTCTCGTATTTGGGATGAGAGTAATCCTAAGGGTTGGCCCCTCTGCTTTTCGCTTTTATTTGCCCGTTGGACCTGCAGAATTGTCACCTGCTTACGCAAGGACCACAGTGCCCGGTGTGCCCATGCAGCCTCCCCTCTCCCAGGACGTCTTGTGAACAATCTCCTGGTGCCCTCATAGCACCGAAACAGTGGTGACATTTTTAAACCTCAGTAGGAAGTTGCTGCAGGATAAGCGTGAGGGCAGAAGCAGGCTCAGGGGACACCACCATGAGGAGGTCTAACAGGTGACTTTGCATCTCGTGTGGCTTGGGGCTGGAAGGGGTTTGTTCAGTAAACAGGTATTTCCCGAGGGCCAGGGACAGCTCTTGGAAAAGGTGAAAAATCACTTCCCTGGGTGTCTGTAGATGCTCCTCCCCCTGCCTGAGGGCAGGTCTGTATGTAAACCATTCAGATGGGCAGAAATGAATCCTTTTGCTCATCCGCAATCAATGAAGAATTTTCACTCTCTTTCAGGATCCCCTAATGGGGGCATTTCCTGCCCCAGGAGGAAAAATGGAAGGAAAAGAAAAATTAGGAAATACTACTGTGCCTTCCTCTTCTTCCTTGTCCTGATCTCTCCTCCTTTTTTAATAATAGTAACTGTTTATTGAACAACTACTGTATTTCAGCCATTTTTAAAATAAAATGATCTCACTGACTTTCACAACAACCCTCCAAGTTATCCCCATTTTTAACAATGAAGAAGCTGAGTTTCAGGGACATTTAATTGATTTTCCCAGGATTTTAGAGCTACTAGGTGATTGGACCAGAATTCAAATCCAGGTCTGTGTGTGTCCAGGATCCCATAAACCTCACATGCCCCCCTAGAAATGACTTGGGAAACACCAAGGGCTTAGCAGCAGCAGAGACAGTGTCTCGACAGAAATGGGTCATAGGGAGGTAGAAAAGACATTGGCCTAAATGTTCCTCTTCCCACCAGTCTGATCATTTATAACGAGCATCTGGATGATCCGGCAGCAGTACAGAGGGAGCGTTACCCAGGATGGAACAGCTCTGGTTTTGTTCAGGGGCTGACATGGTGAACTGAGATGTCCAGTGGAACATTTTTAGGAAAAGGATCTCATTGCCTTAGAGTTTTAATACTATAAGCTATAATTCTACCAATCAGCTAACCAGTATTTATTGAGTGCTGTGTGCAAAGTACATGGACGTTACTAAGAAGCATAAGGCATCATCCAGCCCTCGGAGTTTTCAGGAGAAGGAGAAGTCACAGAGCTAATGTGCGTGATCAGATAGTAACTGTTTGATTGCATGATGGACGTGAAGACTGAAGGGGTGATCAGGAGGGCCTTGGAACTGGCTTGAAACTGGACCTTCTGCAGAAGGGAATAGCTAGACTGTGGGTGGAAAAGAATTTGGTCCCTCTGGCCCCAGGAAGACAGGGATGGGTGGAGGGGCAGGAGGTGCCAATGGTGAGACTGAACGATTTGGAACTGGAGCTGGGGCTGAGGAGCAGGGAGCTAGTCCTGCTGCCTCCTTCTTCCTCCCCGCCTGTCCTGGGAAGTCAGGACACAAATGGTGGGCAGGTTGACATCCAAAAACCCAACTGCCAAGATATCCTGGTATCCTTGAGACCCTTCCCCAAATTTCTGTATATTTCTTCATAGTGATCATCTAAATTCTAGACGGTATTTTTCTTACTTATAAATTAGTCTCATTGACTATATTTTGTGCATAATTGCAGAAAGAACTAAAAAAAAAAACAAACAACCCAGATGTTGAACCGAGTGTGAGAAATAAGCTTGAGCTCACTCTCCAATGGGGAGGACGTGCTTACTCTGAATGTTACAGCCGCCGTCTGTGGAAGGCCGTGTCTCCAGGCTGTTCCACATCCTGTGAACTTCATGGCATGCCCTGAACAAGATGGAAAGAAAGGCTGTGTGTACCCAAATCAAGGAAACAGCATGTGTGATTATTGCAAAAGGAACCTTGACTTTGGAATTTCCTGATTTTTTAGAACTCTCGAGTTTAAGGATGGTATGTTTTCAGCCTCAAAGAATTTTCCAACCACAAAGTGAACCACCAGGAGAGGAGTGTCAGACTGTATTTCAGATTTCCTGTCTTTGGCACGGAGCTGGTCTTCATGGTCCATATACTGGGTGTGTTCAAGCTGGGACTGGGTGACCAGCTCTCAGATCCTGGGCAGGGATTCGTGGCTGGTCTCTGTCCTGTGGGAGCTTAGACGGATCAGAAGTTACAAAAGGCAGGGCTGCAGGCCTGTTTTGTTTGGACCTACTGTGTTTGCCTGTATAGTTATTGTTTCTTCTTTTTTGATTTTCAAATTTCAAATTAGTCAACATTTAGAGATCAGATGATTTCCCCATAAAAGTCCAGCTTTCCAGATTCTTTTGAAAATGTGGAACAGCTGTTAATTTGAGGAGCAGTTGCTGAAATGGGAAGAGGCTGCCCTTCACGTGGGCTCTCCGAGTCAGCAGGCGGGCTGAGGCTGAGGACCCCGACTCGGCTGATGGCCTCCCTCTATTTGCCTGTGTGGTCATTCATTCCACAAGTGCCTGCCAGGCTCTGAGGCTACAGACACAGTCTGTGACCCTAGCAAGGTCTCCATCTAGGACACGAGGGCACATGTCCTCATCCACCTTCTTGGGTGGGCAACAGCTTAGATGCACAAAATCGCTCATTGTCTAAAGTAGTGTTTTTCACTGTCAGCACTGTTGACATTTTGGGTCAGATCATTCTTTGTTGTGAGGGGCCATCCTATGCCTTGTAGGATTTTTAGCAGCAAAACTGAGCCCCACCTTACTGGATGCCAGTAGCCACCTTCCTCAGTTGTAACAACCAAAAACGTCTCCAGACATTGCCAGAGGTTCCCTTGGGGGCAGAATCGCCCCAATTGGGGATTCACGGATCTAAAAGTTTGTGGCGGTTAGTGGAGAAATGGCATTTGAAATTGCAGCAAGGTCTTAAGGAACTTGCTTATCTCCTAATCAGAGATTTGGATTGGCTCCAGGGTCAAGTCCTCAGCAGCGCCCCCACCCTCTCTGTGTCCAGCCACCAGCATTGACCACACAGGTGTGCACTCTCCACCTACCTGCCGGCTGAGCGCTCCCCTTCATTCACCTTTAATGCCTGGCATTAATCAACAGGTCCAAACTTCTAAGCCATGTATCCAAGAAAAATTATAAACTTAACAAGCCCCCAACATTGGTCAACTTTTAAAGCCTTTAATTAAAAGCAACTGCTCCTGTCCAGCTAATTATCTTGTTTTTAATTATAAAAACAATCTATTGCAAGGTAATTTAAATATCCAGATTAATGTTTAGTTATTCATTTTTAACTTAACAGCATTTTAGGGTATGTATCACTGTGAATGCCCTCTATTCCAAAGTTTCGTCCAAGGAACAGATACAAAAGAAAAAGATTCGGAACCCTGAGCAGTGTCCTTGTCGAGTAGAATTAGTTGTGGGTGCCTCCTCTTTGACTCCTCTTTAGATTAGGAGAGTCGCTCCTCTCTGTGAAATAGTTTAGGTACAAGGAGAGAAAGGAATAACCAAAACACAGGCTCTTTGTAGGATTTCATGACCCCCTTCTCTCCTTTGCCCATTATTCAGCGAACCCGTCATTGGTCCTGGGTTACCAGCACGAGGATCGCTTGAACTTGATCCTAGTCCCAACTTCAGCAACACCAACAGTCTTTAGAAAATGATCTTGCATCATCTCTGAGTAAAGATATCTATGCCTTTAATTTTCGGGGACTGCCTGGAGACTGCCCAAGTCTATTTGTAGGAAGAATCAATTCAGGGGTGAAGAAAGAATTTCCCCCAACACACCCTAAAATACACCTAGGAACACAGTGTCTGAATTTGATCCAGTTTCCATCTGAATTAAAAATTTGAAACCCCCTCTTTGAAGTGCTAAGAAGGGCCTTCTAAGTAACAATGCTCATTACCATTTATCGGATTGTGAACAGTCTATCACTCAGCAAGTTCCCAAGGGAGCGGTCCATTAGTTTTGGAAAAGAGGAAAAGAGAAAAAAAAAACAGTTTGGAATCTAGATGGGAGAAGGGGGAGCAGGTATAAGAATTCCTTTACTCATTGAGCAAATATTTACTGGGTGTTGAAAGTGCGAGGCCTCCAGCTGGGAAAAGGACACAGTCTGTGTCCTCCATCTGGTGGGTACCATAGGCATTCATTGAATCACCGCATAATAAATGTAAAATTGAGATGGGGCCTTTGGCTCCCGATGAGAGAAAAGAGAAGGACTGGAGAGATGCTGAAAATAACCGCCTGGAAGAGAAGCTAGTGATGGCTATTTCTGGACGGCTCTGCTCTGCAATCTGATGTTTATGCCTTAGTTACATGAAGTTTGTTCACTTCAGGAAAGATGGGGATTACAAGATTTGCAAACAGTTCAGTAAAGCTCTGACTTAAACAGTTGTAATGCTATTAAGATTCCTGCACTGCGTGTCAGTGTCTCCCGCTGTTTAGAAAACAGCATCAAAGCTCACCTCCCCGGCTGTCTTCACAGTAAACGGAACCAGGTTTGTTTTCATGTCAGCATTCCCTAAGCCGCTTGGTGTTTCATTAAATCGCTAAGCCAAAGGGATGAAATGCCAGGTTACTGCACTTCAGCATTGTTCTAAGGCTACGGGAGTGAGGGTGGCAACGAGCCAGCCGATACCCTGTTCTTCTCCTTGGTGATTAAGGAGGATTAGTGGAAGTGACTGAGCCCCCTGTTACATTTGCAGAGATAAAACTCTTCCAAAGCCAGTTCTGTACAGATCTTGCATCAGGTCACCGTGACTCTGCGCTTGCCCAGGGGGTTAGGAAGACGGTGTGTGCGTTTTTTAAGGGACGTTGAAGGGAAAATCAGATCCGCTTAGAAGGAAAAGCCAGGTCTTTAGAAGTGAGCCTGTGTATGAGATTAATGGCTTCCCTTTCCCGGTTCTATCTTCAGCCAAAGAGAAGGGGTGGTAGAACCCGCCAGCACCGGGGTCTGCCCCTGAACTTGACCAGGAACAAGCACAAATGGGTCATGTTTCAAAATATGGTCTTTTGGAACTTGGGCCCCAGTTTATCCCAGAAGCAATCCTAGAGATGATGATTACAGGTCTAGGGAAGTCCTCAGAAATGTATTTGGTTCATAATGTAGACAAGCTTCAGCAGCGCTGTTACGAGTTCAGTGTGCATTCAAGAGAATTCACTGACTTATTGTCACTAGTTATAATAATTCTATGGGAAAGAGGAAAGTCCACTCCAACTTGGAGCTTAAGAAATCAGGCAGACATCTCCCTCGTGCCCCTCTCCGCCCCTTCCCCATTGTTAGCTGGGCTTGGGCACGTCCTCCCAGCCCACTCCTCAGGGACTGGCTGCTTGACGAGCACCTGTCTGTCCTCACCCAGAGAGAGGCCTTAAATCACCAGGGAGAGGAGGTGGGGGTGGTTCAGAGCATTTTTCCACTCTCTAGGGTTGACAGGTGGGTGATAGAGACGTAGATTTGTTCTCTGTTGCCCTAGAGAGTAGCTCCCGGCGAGGATGTAAGAAGCAGCTGTCGGGTCAGTTTGAGGCAAGACTTCCTCCTGGAGGGAGGAACCACGTGCCCAGGGCCTTCCATGAGTAAGGTGCCTGTAGATGCATGCCTGAATGCCATGGCTGGAGCTTACCTTGCAAAGCAGGATGTGTCCTTTATTAGGAGTCTTCAAGCAGCGTTCGGGAAGCTAGCTGGTTGTGAGGAAGGGATCCCTGCTCTGGGAGGGCAATCGATGGGAAAGGAATAGTATTTTACAGCTTGTCCATTGTAGTCCACACACGGGGGCAGATTGCTTCAAGTGTGTCCTCCTAAGCCTCACAGGACTGTTAGAGGTAACCGTCTCCTGTGGTCCAGCTGAGGAAACTGAGCTGAATCACGTGCACGGGATTATGTAGCTAACGAACGTCCGAGCACTGTTTGAACTCAGCTTATTGTTTTATATTCACACAAGTAGTTGATGCTTTCCTGTGCTGGAAGTGGTCCATGGTCCATGGTCCAAGTTATCTTTATGTCAGCGTCACCCACATTGGTGACATTTTTCACCAGGAATGTGATGTGCACAACTTAATGTGTGTTTCATACACTTGGTGCCCCAGATACATGTTAGAAATACGGAGGTGTCTTAGCCAGTGTGTGTGTTGGGTGTGGGTATATAGGAGGAGTGGGAAACAGATGGATGAATGGGAGAACAAAAGGAGAAGGTGGGATTGAAAGGGCTGTTGGCACCTCTGAACAAGAGCATTTTATCATCAGAGACCCTGTCATAATCTTGACTTCATGGCCCCGCCCTCACAAGTGCTCTTTGGGAGGGATAACAGGGGATTCAGACTGACACCAGGTTGTCTACTGAGAAGTTTAATGTGGAAAATGTGTGGACCTTTGGATGTGTTACATTTTAGGCATGTTAAGATACCCAGCTCCTTTTTTTCTCACAATCTTCAGTTCTGCTATGCTTTTATTTGCAGATCAGTGACCATATTTCTTTCTGTTCTCATGGGAAATTCATGATTCCCCATTAGTATTTTGCCTTTAAATGTTCTGTTAGTCTAAATGAAATAAAAGGATTCAGAGATTAACAGCTTAATAATGAGATTATGGATACCTGCATGGTTTCATATCCATCCACCCTCTGTAGCGGAGAGCACCAGGCAGCTCTGTGGGAAGCCCTTCTCTGTATTTTCACTGGAGAGCATTAACGAAGTGCAGTCACCTTCTCCTGGTCAGGACGGTTGGGACACGTCACCTTCTTCCCTGAGGGAAAGTATAGCCACCCTGCACCCACTCCCCTCCCCCCGCAGAGCTGAGGTTTTCCGGGCGACCCAGACAGTCCCTGACCTGACCTCGAAGTGGGGTGGGGTGGGCCGGGACGAGAGGTTCGGTTGCAGGATGAGGGAGCATCCGTTGCCCTGCGGTCTGTGGGTACCAGGCAGCTCCGTGCGTCCACAGCCTCCAGGCTCCAGGGAGTGGAAAGCTGACCTCTTGCATTTCTCACAGCCTCCTGCTCAGCGGACTTGGAGAGGCCTTGCTGGTTTTCTCGGAGCGGAAGGGCTCCTAAGCCCAGGACGAGGGGACTCCAGGGCTGCTGCGGGAGAGCCCAGCCCTGGGCTTCGGAGCGCCCTGTCGGGGCGATGGAAGGAAGAAAGCACAGCTGGTGAGACGCTGCTGCTCCCTGTGTCAAGGAGAACTCTTTCTGGGGGTCTCTGGGCTGCTGTTGAGAACGGACTGCGTGGAGAGGGTCCCTCAGGTCCTGCTGGCCTGGCTGTGCCCAGCTGTGCCCAGCTGTGCGGGAACAGACGCAGGGTCTCACCTGCATGCGGATGGCTCCGCCCACCATCATTGCCGTGCAGGTCGCCTTATTAAACACCCTCCACCAAACAAGCTTTCGCTACCTGGTAGTGGGCCCAAGGTATTTTGTTGCCATTTTAGTTTTCTTTTGTGAATTTTACGCCCTTGGAGACTCCTCTGGGGACATCCTTTCTTTGCTGTCGTGCTGGCTTGCCTAGAACCCACACTCACCCACTTAGCAGCACGGAAAGAATTGCTTGTGAGAACCTCCCCTGGGGCGGGGGAAGGGGTTTAAATGGGAGTTCCCGGCCAAGTAAGAGCACCAGCAGGGACACTGTTTCTCCAGAGTGAGTACTGAAGTCTTTTTGTTGTTGTGTGTTGCGTTGAATTCTGCACACTTTTCTGTGTCTACCGCTAGGTGAACTTGATATTAGTGATTATCACAGGGAATAGGGTTAATAAGCAGTGATGGATAAAATAAATATGTAACACATATTTATATTCATAATCTATTTAATTTCCTGATTTTCCAGAGGAGGTTTCAAATCATTGGATGCTGAAGTATAAGACCAGATTAAAAATTGGATTTAAACTCTAAGCCTTGCCTTTATGGAAGTCCAAAGAAATGAATTTACGTGAGGTGGTCATTTGCTTCTGAATCTACAATGAAGGTTTAAGAAAATAAGGTCTAACTCCATATATTTCTGCTCATAATAGGTTTCTGAATACCTTACTACTTTGCCAGGTGTCAGTTTTGGTCATTTTGAGACACAGAAGGTAACAAAGTCCAGTGAGTCTTGGCCAGGGAGGACCCAGGCCCTGCAGTGTTGGACACCAGTGTTGGCGATGGAGAACCATCTTCAGCATCTGTGAAACAAGCCTCGTTCATTCTTGGTCCTGGGAAGACTGAGAGAGGCCTTGCTGGTTTTCTCAGAGCGGAAGGGCTCCTAAACCCGGGAGGTCAGCTCAGTCAGGCCATTCTTCCTGCATGTTTCCTCCAAGTTGTTGGAAAAAGGAACAAAACAAAGCGAATAGGAATGGAATAGTATGATTGGCTCTTGAGTACCTTAAATTCATGTCCTTGTCTTCTCCTGGTCTCTGCTTGTCATTTAAGGTAAAGATGTTCAGAGTGACCTTTGCACGTATATATATATAGTTTCATTTTGCTCTTAATCTGAGATGTCAAACTTTCTACTGAGGATCAAATAGAAAATCTGGGTTTAGAATTTTCCTTCTTTTGCCCCCACAAACCTCTCTGTACAACTGAGGCCAGTTCTCCATTTGTGGAAAGTGGCATCTGACCAAATGTCATCTTACGCCTGTCTTTCCAAGTGTCATTCAAGCAAATGGAGATTCCTAAGGCTGGAAAGAGCCATGCACAGTTAACAAGTCCGGTCTGGTGTTCCCAGCAGGACTGACCTCAAAAACTTTTGCAAAAGTGTTAGACCTTTTTTCAAAAAGAGAATCTCTAGCAAAGATTTTTGTTTTTGTTTGGGTGATTTTTTTTAAACTGCATTCTAGAGGCCCATTGTTCTTAAACTTTCAGGTCTTTTTACTTTGACACCAGCAAGAGGCAGAGGATAAGGTGTTTCTTCAATGTAGCATCCTGTTTCCCTCACCTTCCATTTCTTATTGGGCTTTTTGCTTGAAGCTTTAACCACTATCTTTTATGCCCAAGTTCATGTGCTCAACTCTGAACACAGGGTGAGCCCAGGGCTCTGTAACTCAAGGGGCTGGTCCAGATGACTGCAGTCTCCTGAGCTCTCATTTTCTGTGGCTCTCTGGGCCCTAGCCCCCAGGTGGTGAATCTCCAGGTAACCCCAGCACTCCCTTTTACCCGAAATGATCCGTTTGCTCATGTCCTGTCTGGGTCATGTCCTTGCTGGCCCCAAGCGAAACCCAGGGTGTTTTGGTTTTTCATTTGTCCAAATAAAGAATATGCTTTCTGTCAAGAGAGGCAAGGCTCTGTGTGATTGGGTATGGTTACCAGTCTGCTGTGGATAGAAGGGAAAATAAACCATTTTTTTTTTTGGTAGTTTGCCTTTCTTTCTCTTCTCTTTGACCTGGACAGGAGAGTTGTGCAGAAAAGGTTGTTAGCCTCGGGGAGTGAGTTCTTGCACCTTAAACACAGGCCCAGACATCTACCAGCCTCCAGGCCACTTTGCTCTGCATGGGGAGGGCCATGCAACTCCTTCTAGACCTGCCCTGTCCTGTCGGGTGTCCCATATGTGGCTGTAGAGCCCTGAGAGGGGGTGCGCCCAAATCCAGATGTGCTGGAAGTCTAAGCACACACTGATTTCGAAGACTTAGTATAAAAAAAGAGGATGTAAAATAATCTCATAATCATTTTGTATTCATTGATTGCATGTGAAATAATATTTTTGATATATGGGGTTATATAAAATATATGATCAAAATTAATTTCTCCTGTTTCTTTCTGCCTTTTTAAAATTGGGCTACTAGAAAATTTGGATGCATTTGACTTCCATGATGTCTCGGTTGGTCATTGTTAACCTAGACCTGTTTGTGTACACTGGACCCAGGGAAGAAGCAAAGGAGAGAGATGTTGACAGCCACATCTGTGTCTGGGGGTGGGGCAGGAGTCCTGAGCATGGGGCAGGGGAAATCTGGGGGTGGAAAGAGGGGACCCCCAGCACCTGGAAGTGGGTAAGGGCGCTCCAGAGAGAGGCAGCAGGAGTGGAAGTTCCATACTTTTCTAGAACTTGGTGGCCACTTTAAGGTCCATTTTCCAGCCGGTGCCCTCTGTGATCCTCAGGCCTTCAGTAAAGTCTGTTACGCAAGACAGCCTGGTGTTGGCTGTGCTCTGGGAAACCAAGGGTCTGGGTGCCCCATTTGTGGTGCAGTTGGACAGGGCAGAGGAGGTGTGGTCACCACTATCCAGCAGGGCAGAACTACTTTAAGCTTTCAGCTTCCAGAACTGTCCTGTCTCCCTGGGGGTCTTGAAGGTCCAGTGGAGTTAAACCTATCATTATAATTGTGTGTGTTGATGGCTTATCACATGTTCTCTAGGTAAAGCACTCTCTCCTGGGAAGAAGGAGAGAACAAACATGGCCTTTTGAGGGTTTGCCCTCTGGCAGAACAGATTCATGCACACAGGTAGGACGTGGACCAGGAGGCAGAGCCAAAGAGCATCATTGTGAACTGCCGTATCCAGGTCCTGGCCCCAGCCGTGACACCCTCATCCGTACTGAGTCACTAGGTTACCTGGGTTCCAGTTCTGGCATCTTCTGGTCCTTCTGTTCAAGTGCAGGTAAGCCTTCATGCTCAGCCAGGTTACCAGCTAAGTCAGGACACAGGGAGCATGCAGGACTTCACACTTTACTTGATGGTCCTGGTCAGCGGAAGAGGGTCTTCCCATGAAGAGAGTAGCAAAGGTGGCCTCAATGTCCCACACTTCCCAGTGCCCAGGCCATTTGCAGTGGGATGGAGCCATTTCCCCACTGCTTGGACCTGCGCCAGCCTTGTGACGTGCTCTGGCTAATGAACACAGTGGAAGTGACCCTGCCAATTTTGAGCTAAGGCCTTAAGAAGCCTTGGACACTTCCACTTGTGTTCCAGGCTTCTCTTCTGAGCCCTCTTCTTGACCAGTTCAGCAAGAATCCCGCCAAGCCAGTTTAGCAAGAATCCCCCCCACCCTTGATACCTAACCAAGTTCCTCTTGGTAATTTTCCATCCACTGACCCCCTCGCCCTGCCCATTGGCTATAAATCCCCAGCTGCCTGTTATATTCAGAGTAGCCTTCAATCTCTGCCTCCTCCTACAGTTGTCTTGACCTCTAGTGCAATAGTCTGGCGTGGTTTTCCTTGCCTGATGCCTGTTTTCTTTGACCACTTCCAGCATGAGAACAAGCCCCGACTAGCCTGCTGGAGGGTGAGAGACCTCATAGAACAGCACTAAGTCCTCCCAGCTGGGGCCATCCCGGGGCAGTTGCCCTCAGCTGACGGCAGTCACATAAACGAGCCTGCTCGGGTTCAGGGGAACTAGGTTCGGGCCAGACGACCCCGAGGCTCTTGAGAAATAATGGATGTCTGTTAGTTTATACTACTACGATTTGGGGTGACTTGATGTGCAGCAATATTGTATCAATAGCTGATGGGTACAGAAGAGAAGAAATGGGAGGAAAAGCAGAGCAGAAGGACCTTTTGAAAGACCCCCTGTCCTGAGCACTTGGGGTCCTGCAGGGTTTTATGATTCCCATAGCATTAGTGAGGGACAGTCCTGCGTCTTCGGCTGCCACTCTGGGAAAGGAGGGAACAGAGCTGCAGCTGACCGTGTGGGTCCTGCAGTCACCAGGGAGCAACAGAGAAGGGAGGGTGGACGGTGCTTTGGGCAGGAAGGGACCGGCTAGGACCGGAGCTGCCCTGGTAGGACCTGCCAGCTGGGAAACAGTCAAGTCCTATATTTCAAATCCCTTCAAGTGCACACATTGGGACTGAGCTGTGAATAGCAGGGGAGGAACTCTGCAACTGGAGCAGCACTGACGCTGTGTGCCGGAGCCCCGCCTCCAGCGTTCTCCCCCCAGCCTCGGGCCCCATCCCGCCCCAGGCCTGCTGCCTTCCCCCGCAGCTGCTCTTGCCTCCTCAGCCCTGTATTATTTTTTTATTTATAAAATTTATTTTTAAATTTTTAAAATTTATTTTTTAATTAAAATTTTATTATTTGAAAGATACATGAGATGACATTTATCATTTTTAACCATTTTAAGTGCACAATTCAGTGGCATGAAGTACCTTCACAGTGTGTACAACCATCCCCACTGTCCATTTCCAGAACTTTTTAATTATCCCAAGTAGAAATTCAGCTTCCATTAAATAAGACCTCCCTGTTCTCTATTCCCCCGCCTCCCAGCCCCTGGCCCTGGGTAACCTCCATTCCACCTGCTGTGTCTATGGATTGGCCTACTGTAGGGACCCCATGTAAGTAGAATCATGTATTTGTATGTCTCTGTCTCTCAGGCCTTTATTCTTACCAAAAGTCTTGTTTTCAGACATCTGAAAAGCAGCCCACCAAGGTGGGCACTTTTGAAAAAATGCCCATCCTCCTTGCCTTGACCTCCAAGAGTTGGGCTGCGTGACCTTGGCCTTGGGGCGTGGGTGTCCCTGTCCCCATCAAATTCCCAAACAAAACAAACAAATCACTCCTCCTGATCGAACAGAACAGGGCCTGTGAGGACAACCCGCCCCTGCATTATCCTTCCTGCCTTGAGTCCAGCTGTTCTCACCCTGCACCCCAGCTCGTGCTCTGGTCGGACGGGGAAGCCATAGTGCATCGAGGTCACCGTGGGCCTCAGGTTTGTCTCACTGACCCGCAGAGGGCAGGGTCCACATTCCTGGAGCAGCCCCAAGGTGCCCGCCCAGTTTTAGGTCAGAAGCTGGACAAGTGAATATTGCCTCAACAGCAGAGGCCCTGGCTTAAGGTGAGTTGGAACCAGACCGGTCCTGTGGGGCCAGAACAACCCGGTGCAGCCTGAGGTCTGTGGGCAGCCTGTCTGTGTGAGTCAGTGAGGTAAAAGGGGTCATGAGGAAAATACATAATGTTGTTAAGTTTCCACCCTCTGCTGCTCCTCCCTGCACCCTGCAAACCCTGCACACCCTACACACCCTCACACATGCACACATTCATTCACACGTGCTCTTTCGCACCCTGGCTCACACACACAGATGCACTCACGCACACCTCCCTCAGGGACTCGTGTGTCTAAGGCCTGTGGTGAGAGGGCTTTCTGAGGCATAAATCAAACAAGATGCATTCTAGATCCGGGGGCCCCGAGCGGTGGGATCAAAGGTGACCCTGAGAGGGAGGGAGGGGTTTTCTTGCACTTCCTTGAAAACACAGGCCTTTGGCACATTGAGGACAGCACCTAGGGGCCCATGGGTGGGCTCAGTGATGGTGCTTGAGGTAGGGAGATGGCCCCAAGAGACTTGAGAGCCTGTGAATACCTGAGGGGGTGAGGGAAGAGGGAAGAGAAGGGGCAGGGAGGGGGATGGACTGTTGACTTGTTCTGTGCCCCCCGCCCCCCCGCCGGGGACTCTCAAGTTCCCTTTGGTCAACTTTGCCTCCAGCGGGAGCACCAGACAGGCACAGAATTTATTTTCATTCTTTGCTTTCGTTCTGAAGCTGATTCTTCATTATTAAGAGTTCTCCACCTCCCTTACCTCTGTGGTCTTTCCAGCCCCCTTGGTCAGGCAGGTCCACGGCTGCCTCTGTTGGGGTCAGCAGCCACCTGGGCAGGTGGTTCTGGGCTGGAGTTGAGGAACTGAATCCCGCTGAGCCCCAATTCTCCTGTCTTTAAGATGGGAAAGGTAATTTCATCCCCTCATAGGTTTGTGGAAATACCTAAATGGGAAGAAGTTACGTATGTACGTACGTGATGTGTGTGTGTGTGCGCGCACCACACACATATGTACATATGCATGTATGTATACCATGTAGAGACCATCTACAAATGTGAGATACTTATCTTGGCGCCCAGCACATCAGAAGCCATAAATGTTACTGTTGCTCCTTCTCATCATCCAGGACTTTCCCTAGGGTTGGCTGTCTGTGGCAGCCTTGGGGTGTCCGAGGAAATGGAATGTGACAGTGAGCTAAAGTGACTTTAAAATCTCTTAGCACTTACATGTCCAAGGACGGCTTCTCAGGCTGGTTCACTTCCCTCACCTCCATGAGAACTATTCCAAACACTTTTCACTCTCTTCCGACCCCTCCCCACTTTTCACCCTTTTAAAGGGAAAACAGAGCTGTCAGGTGAGAACTGTCATTTTCCCAATCTCATCTGGACAAACCTGCTCACGTGGGCACTTCTCTTCTGCGCTGTTCACAGTTGAGAAGAACCTCCTCTGCAGCTCAGCAGTAATCCCGCTGCCTCTGCTCGTTCTGATTCCAGGCCCTCTTGCCTCCTCAGGAACCTGACCTGACCTCTCTCGGTTGTTTGACTTTTCCCTGTCAACTGGCTTTAAACACCCTTCTTTCTTCAGCCACATTGTCATAAGCTGGCTCCTCAAATGTCCCCAGCACACCCAGCGATAAGACAAAGCCGAGGGCCCCGCCACTTGCCCCGGCACGGACGGGAGAACAGCAGCGCCCGGTTTTCGGAGCTGGAAAGACAAGGTCAGAACTTTACCAAGAAGCAGAATTTGCGTGTGAGGTGGGTAACTCAGGGTGGGACTTAGGATTGGGTAACAGTCAGGCTACCACGGTCCCACATCGGCGGAGACGGCGAGGTGAGGGACTCAAAGGCTCTTCAGGCACCACCTGGAGGTGCTTTCCATGGAAAAGTTGTCTTGGGGGAAGTTTCTAGTAAACAATCGTACTATTTGCCCAGGAGGACAGTCCCCAAAGGGTAGAGAAGTGATAATGCAGACGGTGTAAGAGCAGCGTCCTGTGAATGCGGGCAGGAAGGTGTGGTTTCAGTTCCCTCTGTCCCAGTGTGGGGGTGAGAGGGTTTGGTTCTCAGCCTCCAGCTTCTGCCCTAGCCCTTTCTTTCCTCCCGGTCACACGACGCTTCTTAAAGGAAAAGTCTCCGCTTGCTGATGCCGTTTCCTCACCTCCTCCTGATCCCTTAGCCCGCAACCTGACTCCAGGCACCTGGGGAAGCAGCGCTCATTAAGGGCCTCAGTGATGTTTTCGTGTTTAAATCTGAGGGCTCTTTGCAGGCCTCATCTCACGTGGCCCCTCGGGCATCATTTAGAGGGAGAGAAGTGGCCCATGCGGAGAGCATCCTCCAAGGGCCTCCTGCGGGGACAGCTGTCCAGGTGAGTTTGGTGGGCGTGGAACTCCCTCTTCGTGGCAGTAGCTGACCTCACATCATCCAAGCCTGGATGCCACCGGGGCCTTGCAATCTCGTCGAGTTCGTGGGGTCAGCACCTGGGGGTAATTTGGGTTTAAGGAGCAGCAAGGCACCCAGAGCCCATTTGCCGCCTCTCCCAGGTCCTGGGTCCCCGAGGGGCAGTCAGTGCCAGTGTCTGCCCAACAGTGGGGACAAGAAGGGAGCCACAGTGACTCCCTGGGGATGGGTAGGGGTGAGTGAACGAGCGAAATGCCACAGGAATCAGGAGACTTCTGGCTGGAACCAGAGACCGGCTGGGAGCAGGAAGTGGAATCAGGGCCCTGGGCGGATCACTGCAGAAAGCCACTTCCCTGTCATCTCTCCGAGCCTTCTGATACCCAAACTTCTCACGTCTAGGGTCCCATCACAGACAAGGACAGGGAGTCCCAGCCCTTCCCAGCCTCTCACCTTGAGCTCCGGAGCCCAGGGCGGGACCAGTCCCACTAGGGCCAGGCTGGTGGGTGGGGCCTGGAATTCCCGGATGCAAACAATTCAGAGGCAGATGCAACGTTGGCTGGCGCTACTTGGGGGGTTCATTGACCAGAAAGCCCTTCCTTGGAAATGTCTCTGCGCCCCCGTCATTGTGTGACGCTCAGTGGGTAGGGTGCTGGCTTCAGGCCCCTCGTGTCCTTACCTTTCCCCCAAAAAAGCCTGCAGGAAAGTGACCTTGTGAGGGAAAGGGGAGGGAGGTGGGAGAGTGTCTGGAAGTCAGGGTGAAGTAGGATTTCCAGGTATTAACGGGCCTCTCCCAACTCCTTACAGTGATCCCCTTCCAAGAGGTGACCACCTGCCCGCCTCCACCAGGTAAAGGTAGTTCAAGAGCTGGGTCCCTGCACCCCTGTCCCTCCCTCACATCCACCTGGCTCTGGCCTCCCACCACCCTCTCCTCTCCTGCAGGTGGTCCCAGGCAGGTAGGTTCTTGCTGCCTCTGCATTGCAGCTCCGACCGCCCCTCCTCGTCCTCCACAGAGCCTGTCCCATTTCCTCTGGATTTCTAGGGAGCCCTCACCCACTCTACACCCCAGTCCTCTGAGGGGATCAGCTGCATCCCCTGTTGCACCCCAGGGCTCCAGCAGCCAGCTGCCCTGTGGCACAGGGCTCATGGGAGGAGGCAGCTGCCTTAGGAAAAGAATTATATCTGGTTTTGAATCTCATAAAGCAGGCTATAGGTTTCACCAGGGACTCACAGATATGCCTGCAGGGTGATCTGCTTCCTTTTTTTTAAAGCCAGGGTTAAAAAAAAATGTATAGTGAGCAGTTCTGGCAGAAGCTGCCCTCAGCCTCCCCCCTGGACCCACTGAATTTTCATTTCAGTCGTCTCGTTAGAGAAACGACCAAGAACTCCGAGGTTTTGAGGGAAGGACCTGTAGGCAGGGCAGGCTGCCTCAGGATCAGGTTCATTGTCACCAAACTGCCTTTTTTTTTTTTTTAAAGGGTATGTGATCTTGACTTTTTCCATTCATTCTTTTTTGTTGGTTTTTGGGGGGGTTTGAGGGGAGGTTAGGTTTGTTTGTTTGTTTGTTTGTTTATTAATGGAGGTACTGGGGATTGAACCCAGGACCCTAAGCATGCACTCTACGACTAAGCTCTACCCTCCCATCCTCCATTCATTCTTGATGCTCTCGTGGGACCATTCCTCTTGCTTCCCAGGATGCTTTGGATGCACAGACAGCCCCGGACAGCCCATGCTTGATGGGACACCCTGTCCTGCTCTGCCAACTGGCTGTGTGTCTCCTGCGATAGGGGCAGTGAGGGGACTATTTGTGGAGGTGTGGACAGGTTAAGGGACTAAGAAGAGGTGTTGAGACCCCGGGGCTAGTGGCTCCTTGGATGGGTGGGGACTGGGCGGTGGACCACACTTGGCTGGACCTGGTTTCCATCCCACTCCCACTTCCTCTCAGTGCTTCTTGGCAGAAGCTGGCTGGCAGCCAGCGAGCAAGGACACCTGCGAGGTGTGGTCTGTAGGGTGAGACCTGAGGAGAGAATTGATTCAGAGCTGCAAACAGGACAATCCGCCCAGGGCGGCGGTGGTTTTGTGATGGTTCCTGAGACTCAACCAGTATTTAGTTGGTAAATCCCATGTGCCAGGCACTGTGCTGGGTGCCTGGGGATACGTGGTGGATGCCGTTCTGGCCCTCTTGAACCCTGTGGTCTAGAGTGGCAGCTAATGACCATGAAAGTGCCTCTCGGCACGTGTGACAAGGACCTGAGTTCTGCACGTGATGTTTGGGGGCTGAGGCACGCGTAGCCTCGGACAGCTCCTAATCCCTAAGCCATTCCTTGGATCCACTCTGTGATGTGAGCTTCCCCACCAGCTGACGGCCTGCCCAGGTGTCCTTGGCTTAGCCTTAGAGCAAAACAAACGTGCATTTCCTAGTCACGCACTGACAGGAGGGACAGCAGCCGAGGAACACGCAGAGCAGGGGGGCAAAGGGAACTTGTGCTCGTTCTGCCCCACCGTCGAAAAGCCATACACGCACAATGAGGAACAGATGGGTCCAGTGCAGGTGGACCACACCCCTCCCCAGCTGTATTATTCTTCACTGTGATCATCTGCTTACTTTTCAAAGCCCCTTAGCTGATCTGCTAGTCCTCAGACCACACCCTGAGCAGGACGATGGTAGCGGGAGACGAGTTAGAGGCCAGCGCCATCCTCGCCAGGTGTGTCTTCATGGTTCAGCCAGCCTCATGTTTGCAGGCTTTCTGGAACATTTAGAAGTCTGAATGGCCCTCGACGCAGCGGGGCTCTCGGAGCCAGCACCCCCGCATTCTGCTTTGGGTTCCTTTGGCAGTAAGAGGACCGTTCCCTTCGACTACTATGTTTCTTTTATGGTTTTTGCCTCGTTCTGCCTTGCAGTTGCACTCCTGGAAGCCGCTTTTAAGTTGGCGTTGACAATATGTGACTCCAGATTGAGTCTTGATGTTTCTTCCCTTGTCCGGCCCTCAGCACTCGACCTGGCCCTGCTGTGACCTGGCCAGCACTGTCCTTAACTAAATGGTCCCAACAGCCCCTGGGAGATGAACTCAGGCTGTCCCTGGTGGAGGTGAGCCCCTGGGATGCTCCCCCCACAAACCTCTCTCCTTAAAGAGTTTCTTCCATCACTGGACAAAGAACACAACTCACAGGTCACAAGACTGCCTGGCTCAAATGTGCTGTGTTCCAGCCTGCCCCTGTGCATCTGCAGACTGCAAGGGGGACGAGGCTTCAGGGCCGATGAGTTGTGGAGCAGGCAGGGCGAGCGGAGGGGGAGGGCGGGCGGTCAGCGCTGAGCCGGAAATGTCTGCGGGGGAGATAAGGGCTTGAGCAGCAGGGGCAGTCAGCGGTCCCGCCTGCTGCGGGGGGAGAAGGGACAGGCACCTCCAGCGCCCTGCTCCCGCAGCAGCACGGCAGGGCCTGTGGCACAGTAAGGGGTGGCCCCCAGTGGGCCTGCTGGGTGAAGGATGGAAAGAATAGAGGAATATTTGATCAGGAAAAAAGAAAGCCAAGGAAAACAGCTTGGCATTTGGTGTGGATTTCTTGCTTTAATGAAGGTTTGAATGGGGGGGTGGAGAAGGGAAAGCAGTGGCTTCTACTAAATGTCACTGGGCTGAGACCCCAAGGCCTCTGGGGGGGCGGGGGACCGACCCTTCCTGGGCAGGGCACGCAGTGGGCCCACTGCTCTGGGACCGGGTGGCTGCGCCAGACCATCCATGCCTTTGGTTTCTATCTCTAAGCCGACTTCACGGTCAGGTTCGCCAGGCCAGTCTGGGAGAGCCGTGGCTGTGCTGGGCTTCCCAGACCTCCGTGCTCGGGGAGAGCTGCAGAGGGTCCAGGCAGCCCTGGGCGGGGCGGGGCGGGGTGGGGCTCGCAAGGGGCCCGAACCTGCCCCGTGCGGTAGAGGGTGGAAGGGCAGACCCTCGGGGCCTTCTAGAACAGTCTGCTGAGGGGCTGCCTTCTTCCCACACAGGCTCGGCTGCCTCGGACACTCCTTGCCAAAGGCCAAGGCTGGGGAAGCAACAGGGAGGCCCTAGGACTGACCGCAGTCCCCCGGCGTCCACCTCACACTTTGCCTTTAGAAAGCTCATGTTGTGGACAGGAGAAAAGGAAACCTCTGGACAAAATCTTTCATTCTCAGCCCCCCTCCTAACTAAATTAAAACCAGTAAAACCCCCCACTTAACGAACCCACAGGTCAAAACAGACCTTTAAATTACAGTAAGTCTTAAAAAAAAATGGACACAGTTTCTTAAGTCCACCTCATAAAGGCTAAAAACCAAACTGCCCCAAACCCGAGAACATCAGCCTGATTTTAAGATGCAGGAAGGATGCAGGATGCTGGCGTCCCCACATCTGGGCCGGTGGCCTGTGTCACCCATCGAATGTCCCCGAGCTTGGCAGGAGACTCGAGGAAGATAGATGGCGGGGAGCTCTGCAGGAAATTTCTAGATACCAATGGCCCCACTTCTCAGAAAGGCTTTCCACCCGCCAGGCACTCACCAGGAAGCTGCAGGC